ACAGGAGCGCAGACACTCAATATCCACTTAAAAGATGCTTCCCGTTGTCATTCATCTATGAGAACAGATTGAATTTAAAACTCAGTCTATATCTCTCACACTTCAAAGCACAGCAAATTGCCTGAGTGAGCATCTCGCCTTAACAACAAGCATTAAGAGGAGCAGAGGAGGCTGACAGCACTTTCACGTCATCACAGAGCCACGAGAATGCTAGAGGATATACTTGACACACTTATTGTACCATAATCTGCATGCCATCTTTGATTAAGTCGTTTTCCCTCGGCTCTTAAATTGAGACTGAAATGCTGGCCTGTACGTACCGCCCTCCCCTGTGTCTTTGAAAACGTTGTCGATTGCAGAAACAGCGTCATAAATTATGAAACGCCTGTCTGAATACTGTATGAGAATCGCAACACGTTACTTGGCACTCTGCATTCAGAGGCTCGGGCGAGCGATACGCCGTGAGGTACGCTGGGAATCTGGAGGGAATGCAAACGCACACCTCATGCCTGAGCACTTGTGGATGGCATAAGCAACCTTGTGGAAAACTGAGTAAATAACTCGAGATTTACCTCTTCAAACAAATTTAATTCAAGATGCACTCAAAACACTTTACTAGTCAAATGTGAAGAAATGGTTTTTGGAATGCTTGATGAAAATACTGGCATCATTTACTCACTCTCATGTTGCTTCAGACCTGTAAAAGTTATAATGTAATGCTGAAGAGTGAACTTCAGCTAAAAATAAGTGCCCTAAAAGTTGTCCTTACAATTTGACTATATTCTTCTATATTCCAAGTCTTCTATAAATCCAAGTTATGAGAAACAGACCCAAATTCATAGGTTGTTATCCACTTTTCCTATTATTTCACAGTCTTTTCTTCCACTGTAGCTCTCATATATACTTTGTTCTTATTAAGATGAGCTTTTTGGTCATTTTTGAAGTGGATATGCTGGATTCATTTTAAAGCTCTTTTAAGGCTATAATGTTTCTCTATTGTGAAGCCAAAGCAATGTTACTCTACTTTGATTTTTTTATTTTTTTTTTAACACAATAATGTCCGCTAAATAGATGGTAGGTTTGGTTGTTTAAAAGAAGAACAATCAGGACAGAAACACCCTTCTACAGTTGAGTGGTGAGTGATGCACATATGTTTGTAGCAGTTTTATTTTTGATTTATTTTTCACCTTCAAATATATAATTAACATTTTCTGAAATGGTAATTAATGCTGAAATGTTTCAGTGTTGTTTGTTTGGACAGGACAGTTGTGTGAATGTGCCAAATGGGTTTATCTCCTAAATATTTTGGAAAATCAAAATGCAAAGGACAGTTTATTGTAGTGTGGAGCAATACAACAGCATTATTTCAATAAAACATTTGTTGGAATAAAATTAAACCTTACAGATAATATCCCAGCATGAGAGTTTTGTTTGGTGAAAATACTATTGTAAACATTTCACATTTCTCATAAACACTGTCGTATATATGCACACAAAACATTAGTTTTCATTATAAATACAAAAAAAAAAAGCATATACAAATCCATCATTTTGAGAGGAATTATGCCACTTTATTAGTCAGACACACAGTGAGGAAAGCAAGTAATGTATCAGGACTGAATCTGAATTTTATTTGTGCACATATTTTTATACAAAATGTATAAGAAATAAGAACCGGCATTGAAGTGGTTTATTATTATTATTATTGTTATTGTTATTGTTGTTGTTGTTATTATTATTGAAGTGTTTCAAAATATGATCTTTTCAAGGCTGGCCTTCACTGAACCTGTCACATCATCTTAATAGTGCTTTGTATAGGCAAAGATCATAAAACTGACTGACGTTGTCAGTAAAGGCCAAACATGTGTTGTTACTGCCAATCATATAAATTAAACATACAGAGCACAGCATGAGATGGATGAAAGCCTTTCTACCGTCACTTCATAAATGTTCCCATTTTCCGGCTTTATAGCATTACTGCACCATAAATACCATCACGGCACATCCAGCTGAGGGGTGCTGTAAAATATAGTTCATTTCCCATGGCTCCCATCACCAATTTAGGAATACAAGTTACGGACAGGCTCTCTGGAGACGACACTCTTCTCTTAATTAATATCTGCATAAGAAGTAAAAGCCACTGTAATTATTAATTATAGTCGTAATGCATTACCCTAAATATTAAAAGAGGCAAAATCAAACTGTACATTAAAACATTAAGTATTTTAGCATTCAGTTTGTTTATTCCCTAGTATTACAGACACACAACATGCTGTGTACTTAGTATTGACTTTCACTGCAAACTGTAAATTGTGAAAACAGCCTGCAGTTTCCTTCTTGTCCTATTTTGGCTGATCTGACTCATAAAATTACTTTCATTGGTGCAACCCAATGTATTCAAGCTGATACTAAATAATATCAATGATATAAATAAAGCCATTTAAAGGGGTCATATGATGTTGCTAAAAAGAACATTATTTTGTGTATTTGGTGTAATGAAATGTGTTTATGTGGTTTAAGGTTAAAAAAGTCCTCTTTTGGAAGGCCAACAAAGTAGTTTCGCTTTCACAACGAAACACACAGCGTCACACACTGCGGGCTAGAGTGAGCGGCAGCCGGTGGGCTTGAGAACGGTGCGGCCAGCGGATTCGACGACGGTGCGGCCGGCGGGCTTGCGACAACCACATGTGACGACCCCGGGCTGGACTCGGCTTCGTCCACGGTGAAAGCCGATCCGGCGATCCACAGCGTGAACTTGATGTATTTCCTCAGCGACCAAACTAAATCAACCTAAATAAATACATACATTTATAGCAATTTAAGGGTTAAATAGCAATTTAACAATTGCAGTTTACCACTTTTTACAGTCTAATATACAGTAATAACTGATTGAGTGACGATGAGACTGTGTACACTTGCAATCTTACTATAAATATGTACAACTGAACTGAATTAAAATAAATGTAATTTAAAATAATCAAATCTGTGCCACTGATAATAAATGCATGTTATCTCTACACACATTTCTAAATGGTCAATATATCCTCACTAAGAGTCCAAATTCAAGTTAAATATGTCACTGAGGAATTGACTAAAAAAATGCAAGTCAGAGTTTGGCCAGTGTGTCTGTGTACAGGTACACTAAAATAAAGCGATACAAAGGGTGTTCGCTCAGCAAAAGAATATATGTTACCAAATTGGCACAGTGCCCAGTGGAGTAAAGCATTATTAGAGTGAAAATGTATGGCGCTGTTTGCCTCTGTTAATGCATTATTTATTTATTTTCCAGAGCTTGCCCTTGACTCTAATGGAGCTCTGCACCAAATCAATTTGAAAGCTAGTTAAGCTGCTACTCAAAAATGCCACATGCAAAGTGTCCGACTATATTTTGCACACTGTCAAACACCCTTGAACATGCTTTAAATGATCTGCATTTCTGAAATGTGTATGTGCAGAGAGAGAGAGTGATGAAAAGCAAGAGTCAGAGAGTGTCTGCACATCCATATATGTCAATATAACTACATTTGCAATGCATTCTTTAGCACTACCAAACAGTGTTTCAGCATGTAAGCATATTCAGCATCCAGCCACTTCAGCACCACGGACAGCACACAAAAAAACTGAAATGTACAAAACCTTTCACAAATGATTGTATTTGTTGTGCTAAGCTCTGACATCAAAGCAAACACTTTCCTTCATTTTAATCAACATCTCATTCTACGATGCATTGCAAAATCCACATCAACACGTTTCCTGCTGACACCAGAGTAATGGGATTAATCAACTACAATGATGATACATCATACAGAAAAGAGAACACGGATGTGATCAAAGTGGTGCCATGACAACAACTTGCTGCTGAATGCCAACTAGACATAGGCAGTCATTACTGTCATGCAAAGCACAGCTAGCCTCAAACTATCTGTGCTTCAGTATAAATGAGGTGATAGTTACAATCTCCCATCCACTCCAGGTGATATGGGCAACATATTTGGAGCAAATCTTTTAATTGGCCATGAATGGTATACAATCTGTTCCCATTTGTTTTGCACACTCCATTGTACTGAAGTGTGTCATGAGTAACTGTCTGGTTACCGGTAAGAAAAGAAGGCTGTCGCGAAGGTTAAAGAGAAGATAGAATAGGAAATGGCCCATCACTTCATTGTTCACTGGGCACTGGCAAATCAAAGACTGAGTGGGATCCAGGTCCTCATATGCAAATGTGCCCATTGTGCTGTATTGAATCTATTTTACAGTACAGTACATTTTATTATGTTCACACACCATTGTCTGTCCGATGTGGTTGTGTCTACACACTAGAGAAAGTGCTGATGGAGCATTTGATGGTGTAAGATGTGTTTTGAGGGTGTGAAATCAGTTTGAAATCATGCACCTCTCTAACATTCTCATTGGTCTCATTTGATTGCCTGATGGAACAACATGTTTGCAAAACCTTGCATTTTTCCTTTGGATTTTCAGAATGCTTTGCATAGATATGACATTGTCAAAATGATCCCCATTCGACTAAAAACTCTGCATTGTGTGTGCCGAGCCAGTAGTTGGCAATGTCTTTGTAAATAAATACTACACACCAGCGCACACACCTATAGACTAAACATGTAATATGCATGTACATGGCGTCACAGTTTTCAAAAGTTTGTGTTTTCAGGCCCCCGAAAGCGTTTGCAGTTTTACTACAGACCTGAACTCTGACATCAAAGCAAGCAAACAAGGACAATGTTAATTTCACACTTTTAAGAGCCTCCAAAATAAATAAATAAATAAATAAATCTGGGCCTGATGTTGCACAGAATTTTGACTCCCTGCCAAATAATTACCCCACTCGCTGAGCCTGCTACCTACTTACCTAATCCTAAAGTTCTAAGACATTTGTAATAATGTTTTTGAAATTTAAACACTCTGAGGTGAAATTCTGGAACAACTGGGAAGATTTCAGCTCTAAGAAGCTCTTAACTCTAGTGTGAATGTGTCCTTTGCATGTGTGCTCTACGTGCTGAATAGTGATGAAAAAATAAAACATAAAATAAATAAATAAAATGAAGTCTGTATTTGACTTGTTTGTATTGACAATATAGTTTTATAGATGTTTATGTAGCTAATGTTATTTGTAATTATTCATATTTGAAACCGCCCAATAAATTCATTAAACATTTTACCTAAAACAAGGTAAAGTACTGGGTTATTGACTTATCTTAGATAAATTGTAAAAAAAAATAAATAAATGTTTTTGAGAATGGAACATATTTGTAACTTTATTTTTAAGTTAAAAATAAGAAGAAAACAGAAAACATTTTCGTGAATCCTTCTACTGGTAATGTAGTTACAACATCTACCAGTAGGGGCTAACTTCCATTCTAACCAGATTAACCCTTTGCATCAAATTCACTATGACCAGTTCTTCACTTTTGTCAGTTCTTTTCCATTTATTTATTTGTTTGTTTGTCAGTTGATCTGTTTGCTGTCATTCATTTGTTTAAATGACCCCAGCAAATCATTGTAAGACTTATAGCCAGAATAATTTTTTTCTGCTTCAGAGTGCTTTTAACAATAGAGAATGATGGCTTTTTTTTTTTTTACTGTATAGCCCAAATTAATAGTTCTTATATGCTGTATCATGGCAGAATGACAGGGAAACAAATAGTATCTTTGATTCTGCCAGGCAAGTGCATACATCATGGACACAATGAGGTTATAGATATGGTGCCGCAGTGTCCATCAAGATCAGATTTCAGCACAGCACATATTTCAACATTTGGGCCATGCAATTTTAATCATGTCAGTAAAACAGGGGTTGTGTACAGTGAGATCACTTACAAGGCCTTAAAAATTTGATGTCACATGTCAGGTCCTATTCAACATTTGAGTGTAAATCACTGGCAATGACAGAACATGAAGGTGTGCACGACTCTGAGAGGCTCAATCTTTATTTATTTATCAAGGTTGGTGAATAAGGTACACGCTCTTTTTTCAGCTTTTTTTCAGGCTATTCATGTCCTGACGGGAATGCACATATGCTCTCCCACCGTCTGAGTCACTAGGATGAATGTACAGCTGTCAAAATGATAAATGAGCTAGTAAAAATATTCATATGAAAATAGGGAAAGATTTATATATATATATATATATATATATATATATTGGTTGAGCATCATAAAGTCTTAAAAGTAATGTAAATCTAAGCACACTTTGTGTTCAAGTGCATTTCAGTCACTTTAAAAAGAAGTCAGTGCCTTTTTTGAAAACGTGTGGCCACATTCACTTTTACAAAAAACAAAAAAACAAAAAAAGGATCCAGAGGGAGATTTTCACAGAAATGCCATAGAAGAACCATTTTGAAGAACTAACTTTTAAGGGATTAGTCCTTAAAATAACTATTTTTTGCAACCCAAGTTCATTGGAAATATGTCACTGTTGCTACAATTATATAAAACCCGAAACACATCGTTCTGGGTAAATTTCGCTGCACATTTCAGACGAAATGGCCACAAGAGGTGCTACAAGCTATATCACTTTTCTCCACTGCAAATGTTTGTTTATTATTTAAAACTCATTTTCTGAAGCAACCATGTAATTTTAGCATCTTTCAGCAAAGCTTTGAGCTCTTTTGTGGATTGACTCACTGCTCTGCATCACAATTGCAATGCTGTACCAGGTGAGCTGTCAAGAAAAGCCATAAATATGGAGCAGATTATATGATACAAACGTTAAAATGTATTTGTTTATAAATCATGTACCACGGTAGTGAAAGTAATTTGATGTCAAAACAGTATTTATGCAAAGAACTATGCAAAAATAAGTCTTTGTTAATCAATGATCTGCCCCTGTGATCATACAGTAAATTGAAAAGGAACAGAAGTTGTTAATGTTTTACTGCATCTAAAAGTGCATTAAATGTTGGCAATCACGTATTTCCAATGAGCTTCATTCATTCATTCATCCATTAATTTATTTCGTTTGAGGAACATTTTATTAATCTAAAGATGCTTTTTTTCACATTCTAAAGAACACTTTGTGCTATGGAAAGATTATTTGTGGAACTGTAGATGCCAATGAAGAATCTTTATGTTTAAGAGTGTTCATGGTTGAAACTAAACTTTTAACTCCACTAGGCCTATTAGGCTGTAGACACACATCATGATAGGTCCCGGGGCAGCATTCTTGTTTGTATCCACTATTAAAGCATCTGCACTACTGCACTGCACTGTTTTGAAAACAGCTTATCTTTGCAGTCACACTAATGAAAAACTTTCAGACATTCAAACTTCATCTCTCATTCAGATTTTGTCCCTGCTTGCTTCAATTTCACATCACATAATCTCACTTTATCTTTTCATCTCACTTCCTCATTTTGTCCCAGTCCAATCTATTTCCGGACATCACAGTCTCAGAGGAATCATTCTGAATGACTCTTTTGTTAAAGGTCACTGTCATTTGGATGGAAAACGAATGACAGCTAATTTTAGTCCTGCATTAAAGGACAAAGCACCTCTCCCCTTTTGCCAATCACACATTATTCATGAAACAGTTCACTTTAATCATAAAGCTTGTTATAAAAGTTATTAACTTTCTGTTTATTAGTTTCAGAAAACAAACAAAGCATACAGAGGCACGTGTTAGTGACTGGCGGGACGGAGGTAAGCAAACGCCTCTAGAAATGTCACAGCCTGGAATCTGCAACCGGAGAAGAGACTGTCATTCCGGACACTTTAAGTAATGCATAGCGTTGTCAAAAGACAGCAGGAGCTGACCACTAAGAGAAACCCAATGACTCAATGACTCCTGGGGTCATTGAGTCAAGGTGACCTTTTGGATTCAGATCTTTAGTATCCATATACATACATTAAAAGCAAAAAGTCTATGTTGGCTAAGCTGCCACAGTGGAACCTGGTGAGGTCCAACCACATATTGATTAACACCAATATATTGATGGCTTTAGTAATCGCTTTTTGTAACTAGGCAACAACATCAGGGGAAAATTGTATCCGATGTACCCTTTAATATCAGCACAAAAACTGTGCAGCTGGTGCTTCATGGAATGGGATTCCAGTATGACTGTGCCCCAGTGCACAATGCAAGGTCTATAAAGATATGGTTGGATGGGTTTGGTGTGGAAGAACTTGACTGGCCCACACAGAGCCCTAACCTCAACCCCTTCCATCATCTTTGGGATGGACTGTAACAGAGATTGCAAGCCAGGCCTTTTTGTCCAACATCAGTGGCTGACATCACAAATGCTCTACTGGATAAATGAAAAAAAAAATAAATAAATACAACAGAAGCACAACAAAATCTTTTTGAGAGAGAGAGAGAGAGAGAGAGAGAGAGAGAGATCTCCATTTATTGTGCATCATTTACATATTTCATATTTAAAAAATAAAATAAAATAACAATAATGTTATCAGTAGTGATGAAGCATAGTTATTATTATTTAATTTAATCTTTTTTTTTTTAATAATTGCAAAATAATATCATGGTCATTGTTCATTATATTATGAAGTTGACCATTATTTTATTTGCATTTTTTTGTTTTGTTTTGTTTATTGGTATCAGCAAATCCACAATTGGTCGACCTCCAGAACCTGCCAATAAATAAATAAATGAATGAATGAATAAATGAATCAATGAATCAATGAATCAATCAATCAATCAATCAATCAATCAATCTGGGCTTTTCAGTAAACAATTCATGAAACAGCAAAAAAAAATGTAACAGGTAACAAACCTATTAAACCACTGTTTCGAAAAATATTTGTTGTAAATAATAAATTATATGAAACTGAAACATGCTCTTGTCCAGAGAACACTGATCAGTTAAAATATACCTTCAAGTTGAAAAAAAAAAAATAAATAAATAAATAATAATAATAATAATAATAAAGTATACTAGCAAGTACTTTAACAGCCTTTGGTCTTTTTCCCCCTCTTTGACTGAACACACCTCATCATTAATTAATCCATGATACACTAACGTATTTTTTTTATTTTTTTCATAGGTAATCCCAGTCTATGCATCTTGTTTTGTAAACATTTCATAGCCTGGGATTCATAACACCTGTTTATCTTTTTGAGAGCACTCTGTGCTTTCATAACATATCTCAAAAGGCTCAGTAATCCCCTTTATTCTATTCTCGGTTTTGATTAAAAGGACAGAAACGGAGAGACAGAGACCCTATCCGTCTAACAGAAACAAAACATGTCTGTTTGTTCAAGTTTCGATTAGCACCAGCACAAATTCTGCTGCAAAAACAATGAATATTGCTGCAGGCACTGTGACTCAGATGGTAGCTCAACACAAAACATGAGCAGTGCTAAATGCAAATGATTGATGGGCTTTATTAACGCCAGAGCCCATTACCTCTTTGAAGAAGTGAGAATTTTTGTTCAGGGTTTTTTCATCTTGTCCCTTTAAGCAGTTTATTTTCAACGAGATTGAAACAGTATTTTAAAGGAAAAAAAGATGACAGTATGCATGTATGTATGTGTGTGTGTGTGTAGGGACCAATTCTCACTATTAACTAGTTGCTTATTAGCATGCATATTACTAGCATATTGACTGTTTATTAGTCATTGTAAAGCACATATTAATGCCTTATTCTGCATGGGCATATTTTAGATCCCTTAATCCTACCTAAACATAACAACTACCTTACAAACTATTCATAAGCAGCAAATTAAAAGTTTATTGAAGAAAAATAATAGATAATAGTTATTTAATAGTGAGAATTGGCCTCCAAACTAAAATTCCATAATATTATTATTATTATTATGATTAGTAGTAGTAGTAGTAGTAGTAGTATTAGCATTATTAAAATAAAAATGGTACTTTACAGTAAGATTTCTTTTGAAAAAAACTACATTAGTTAACATAAACTAACAATTAACCTAAATTCTACAACATTTACTATTACATTTTTTAAGATCAGAACTAAAATTAACAAAGGTTAATAAATGATGTTAATATATATATATATATATATATATATATATATATATATAT